TCCTTCAGTCCAGAATGCTGAGAGAGTGACTGAGGCAGTGTCAGGCTACATCAATCCCTGTCTTTCTTTGGGGTGACGTGTTGGACCCCCATGATATGGACAACCCCTTTTGGCAGACCTCAGGAAACTATATTAAGAAGAAAGCTCTTGTCATGTGTGCAAAATAGCTTGACTCTGAAGACAATTAGAGGCTGTTGCAAGCTTTTAGGCTTAACCAAATAGGTGTTTAAATAGGTAGGCCTAAAATGCAGACAAGCAGAGTAGCCTCTGAGGGAGATTAAATGGAGAATGGGAGAGAAAGAATAACACTGCCTTTGTTAACAAAAAGGTAGTGTACTTAGCTATCTCCACTTTTCTTAAGGTGATAAGAATAAAGACTGTATATAGGAGAGAAGTTGGCTTAGATGTCTGGAACTTGAAAACCTTGGTTTTGTTACTTTCTTCCGTAGGGGGCTGGGCCAAGACCTCATTTGAAGGCTCAGTGGCTCTGACCAGAGTTAAGGCTGGACCATGGCTATTTTATTCTCTCACCTACTCTAAAGCTAGTGGGACAGGTTAGAGATGGGAGGACATTACCCCTCTAGCCATGTGATAAAAGGTATCAGCTAAAAATGGAAAAAATAAATACTATGAGACAATTGCAGGGATGCATCCATGGTTGAGTTGTACTTGGAGTCCGAGAGAGGTAATAAGCATTCTTGTGTCAGCAGTATCCAATAGAACTTTCTGCAATGATATACATACTTTATATCTATGCTATCCAGTGCAATAGTCATTTACCTCATGTGTTTATTGAATATTGAGAAACAAAGCTAGCAACTGAGGAACTAAATTTGTAATTTTAATGAAATGTGGCTAGTGGCTACCATAGTAGATAGTGCAGTTCTATGCTCTCAGAAAGTGATTTGAAAACACATGCCTTCGCATCAAGAAAAGCATGGGAGACAGAAAATGGGCCCCCAAAGCAGCAGTACTTATTATGTGAGCAGCTTCTATGCTGCAGGCACCCCTTCTGTCCTCACCCTACACTGTTTCCAACGGGCAGGCTCAGACAATCTTGCCAGGAAGAAACTTTGGTGACAGAGCCCAAAAATGTTCCATAGGCCAAAGCAAGTAACTATAAAAGGATTAAAAGTAGCAGGAACGAATATAAAGTTTTGCATTTGGATCCAAAAAATCAGCAGTTCAAGAACAGGCTGAGAACAATACAGCTTTCCCAACAGCATGGTTTGAAGAAACTTAGAAAATGTTAGTTGACTTGCTTCACTCAGCAGTAAATCTTCCATATTTATTCACTTTCTATCAAAAGCCAGGGTCTTGTTGTGTTTTTATGGCTAGTATTCCATAGAGTATATGTATCATACTTTTTCAATCAATTATTATCTGTTGATGATAATGTTTATAGTATCTCCCAATTTACCAGTGAGAAATATATTCATGTTGGAACATACACTTTATAAGCTAAGTGGTGTATGTAGTATGTGATTAAATATATAAAAGAAATTAAAAAAAAAAAAATTTTATATATATATATATGAAAATGTTAGTTGTCCATAAGCTTAATGAGCCAGACCCCTATGTCAGACACATGCACATGTGTGCTCAAAATTCTGACAGGATGTAGAAGTAGAGGTGAAGGGATTGTAGCATGACCACACCCTTTGGGGGGGTGCTTTCTCCTTCTCCTTCCCTCTCTCTCAATCTGTCTTTATGTCTCTGTGTCTCTCTCTCTGGCAAGAGCATATGTCCTCTGGCAATTAAAGAAATAATAAAGGAGACTTCTCCAAAACTCTCCTTCTAGACCCAAATCCCTAGACAGGTAGGATGTTCTCTGTTTTCTTTCTGTCTTGTCTCTGTATCTTTCTTCAAATTTTGTTTTATATATATTTAAAAATTTTAAGTACTGTCTCTTGCCTCAGACCTCTCCTTTATCTTGCTAATTTCAGAATCCATCTAAATCTGAGCTGTACTTGGCCACTTTCATGTGAACAAGTGTACTGCACGGTTTTTATGTTTTGCTTTTTTAAAAAAAAATTCCCTTTTATTGGTTGTTTCTGTCTCTTTTTTTCTTTTACCCTTTGTTTTCTTTTACTTGACTTTTTCACTTTGCTATCCAGCTTCCACACACTGAGTGTCTAGGCAGATCTAGATACAACAGTAGCCAAACATCTGAATAATTTTAGGGTTATAGAAAATCTCAACTCCCACTGAACCTGCTGCACAAAGGGAGAAAATTCTCTTCATAAATCTGAACTCAAATCTTTTTCTGTGGATACCACATTGCAAAACACAATAGAGGAGAGAAATTGTCAAAGAAGTGCTTCACAGTAAAGGGAATCATATGAGCTTACAGCTGCAGAAACTATCTCCAATGAATTAGCTGAAGGTGAATAACAACACCAAATGTCTAAAAATCATAAAGAAAGACTGCAAAGTGAGCAGTGGGAAGAAATACCAAGCTTCAGAGAGTATGGCTCATCTCCTCCTACACACCCCTGAACCCTCAGTTGAAACTCTGCACCTCAGCCCATTTGCAACTGTTCTTTAGAAACTGAGAGGCCTTTGTAATATCCAGTTCCAATGACAAAAGTGCAGGTTGCATGATGGGAATGGGGAACAAGAACTGCAGAGAGATTGTGACTCATCTACTCCTGCACCCCTCTGAATGCTCAGAACTAACTCTAAGAAATTAGGAAGAAACCATATAACCCATTAGATGACCAGAAACCACTGCAGAAGCACAAAAAATATGAGAAAGCAAGAAAATATCTCTCCCCCATGGGAACAGAACAACCTTTCATTATCTACAGACAGTACAATGGAACTTGTGGAAATGTCAGATAAAGAATTCAGAATTTTAATAGTCACAAAACCAATTGAGATGCAAGAAAAGAGACAAAATGAACTCCAGAAGATACAAAAGAAAAGATACAACAAATTCAAGTAGATGAGGAAGGTCTTCCACAATTTGAAGGAAGGAATATACACCATCAAAAAGAATCAGATGGGGACCAACAGTTAGCGTAATGGCTGTGTTGCTGGACTCCCATGTAGTCGACTGTGGTTTGCGTCCTGGACCGGGTGTCTTAAACTCACGCTGGGCACATGTGCATGCATGCCCAAGATCCCGAGAGGAGAATGGAGGAGAAGGGATTGCGGCATGGCCATCCCCCCCGGGGTGGGGGGTTTAATTTCTCGCTTTCTGTCTCTCTGTCTCTCTCTGTCTGTCTGGCGAGTGCATGCGCCCTTTAGCGCACAAAAAAAAAAAAAAGAAAAAAAAAAAGAATCAGATGGAGCTGTTAGAGATGAAGGCTATAATACAGGAAATCAAAACCTCTATCTAAAGTATTAATAACCGATTTGACCATGCAGAAGATCAAATCTTGGATGTAGATGACAAAACCTTTGACCTAGAAAAAAAATCACCCAAAGTCTGAGAAAATAACTGAAAAAAAATGAGAATAATATACGACAAATACTAGATACCATTAAACACTCAAACATCTGGATAATCAGTATCCCAGAAGGTGAAGAAATTAAGCCAAACAATAAGATTGAAAGTATATACAAAAAAAAAGAAAAAGAAATTAATAAGGGCATTGATAATCTATTCCATGAAATCCTGGAAGGAATCTTTCCAAACCTAAAGATACATTCAAGTATCCTGATCCAGGAAATACAAAGGACCCCACAAAGAATCAGCCCAAGAAGAAATTCTCCAAGGCACATCATAACCAGATTGGACAAAACCTCAGAGAAAAACAAGATACTAAAATTGGCGAGAGAAATGTCAATGTAGTTACAAAGGTTATCAATCAAGTTAATGTCAGACCTCTCATCAGAAACAATGTAAACAAGGAAAGAATGGGAAAATATATTCAAAGTGTTAAATGAAAAACAATTTCAACCAAGAATACTATACATGGCAAAATTATCCTTCATATGGGAAGAAAGGACAAAAATACTCTCAGATGAACAAAACCTGAAAGAATTTACGAACACCAGACCGGCTGTTCAAGTTCTGAAGGGAGTGCTATACCAGGAAAACTAAAGACAAACACAGAAATAAGAGACCAAAAAGCAACCAAGAGAATGGCCAACTTGATGGTAGGGGCAAGTCTAGAAATATTAATAATAATATTGAATGTTAACTTGTAGGATTTAAACAGGAATATTGGATCACAGTAACACTGCAAATTCAACAGAAGAGAGATTAATTAAATGAGACTGAACTGGTGAAATAGAATTTTATGACTTTTGACTAAAACATTACTTATTTTATTCTATGTTTTGTCTTCCAGATTTTTGTTTCCTTTTGAGCTGTTGATAGGTTCAGCTATTTTTTGTTAAAATTTTTTGAAAGTAAAATATAAACTTCTCTCCCTTCCTGACCACTCTGGAATTGGAAAATTTTTGTGAGCATTCTTATTTTGTGGCAGAATTGTTATTTGCATAAGTTCATTAGTATCTGTTCCCTTACATCAGAAATCAGAAATTTTGGCTATTGTCAGGGCTTTGACTGGAATGTCATATCTGAAGATATGACCTGAAAGCTAAGGAATTAAGGTAGAACTCAAGAAAGCCAACAAAAGCTCTGGGAAAGACTGCCTGGTACCATAAATAGTTCTGCCTGGCAGGTCAGTAAAGAATGTCACTTCCTGACTGACCTAAAACATTCTCAAGTGCATGTACAGTGCTGGAAACTTCAGTTTCCTGCAAAGCCAACTAAATCAACGAGTATTCTCATGGGGCTTTGTACAAATAATATATCAAATTGAGACTAAAGTTATTGTTTAGCAAATAAGTTAGTTTATGCTTCTCTCTAATAAAAGGGAGAATGGAGAAAGAAAAACATGTTTCAGAAGAAAATTACAGCACACTTGTTATGAGATTTTAGCTCTCTCTATATCTGATTTTTGAGTTTTTAGTAGCTACTTACTGTTTGAATAGAATCCTAACCTTTTCTTGGCCTTAAATATTAAACAATTTTTTCTTATCATTTTTTAAAATTTTGATTTATTAAAGCTAAAACTTTTCTTGAAATGAATAAATACATAGAAAAGAAACAAACCAAAAAATAAATTAAAAACATATCTACTTAATGACTGCAGTAAGTTATATAGCCTCAGCTAGGTGCTACTTGACAGTATGTTCATTCTACTCGCTGAGTTTTTTGTTTTTTTTTTTGGAAAGGATTTTGCTATAGGTCGCATGCACTCTCCAGAGAGACAGAGAAACAGAAAGAGAGAAATCACCCCCCAGAAGGGATGGCCATGCTGCAATCCCTTCTCCTTCATTCTCCTCTCAGGATCTCAGGCACACATGCATAAACACTCAGCATGAATTTAAGCCACAGGGTCCAGGACTTGAACTGTGGTCGACTACATGGGAGTCCAGCAGTGTAGCTATTACGCTATCTGCTTGTCCCCCTACTCACTGAGTTTTATGCCTAAATCCAGACATGTGTTCATAAATATGTTTATATAAACTGTACTTACTATTGAAAGTATTTATTTAAGACCTTTTGTGAGTCATTAAAAAGTGAAAAAAAAAAAAACATGGAAAACAACCATGAATACCAGAGACAGTATGGGAGGAAGGTGGGAAATGGCAGAGGGTGAGAAGTAAGAAATCAAGGAGAAAACAAAAGAAAAGTAAAATATATAAGAAAAAAGAAATGGAAAATTATTTGTTGAAGATAACATGTATGGTAATGTCTTTGATTGAGCCAATATAGAGTGTATTCTGTATGGGAAAACTCATTTTGTATGGTGCATTGATACACAGTGAATGAATGTAAAATAAATAAATTTAAAATAAAATAAAATGAACAGCAACAACAAAAACCTATAATTGTCTTGAGACAAAATAGACTGATTAGAAGATAAAGAGAGTAGTCTGTCACTGGACGTGATAAAATGTGATCTACATCACAGAGTGGAACCATGGGTACCAGATAAGAGGAGGTACTATACAACATGCACCCTTGCAGTTAGAACTCCCTTCTCACTGTTCATGTTTTGTCCACCACCACATTCTTAAATATATTAAGAAAAAAAGTTGTATATGTAAACAAGTTATTGACCACAAGTCACTTTCAGCTTTTCTAAAGAGAAGTATTAATATAACACATCCTCTTGCCTTATCAATTTATTGTAGATCCACTGAATGGCAGAGATCTCAGCTTTCAATCTGACTTGCATAAGAGCCATTGAATTGGAAATAAGATCAGAGAAAACTAGGCAGGGTTCTGTAACCCTCAACATATAGGCTATCTAATGTCTCAGGAAGCTGGGTTCAGGATTGAACTTCTTTGACTTTCTCAAGCTGATAGACTTCTGAGCTTGTCCTCACTGCCCCATGGCTCTGCTCCCAGCCCATGTTGTTAGGTGCAAAGGCCTTCATGAATGCTCCAAGGGATGGGAAAATGGAGGAGAAGAGGTTGCAGCATGACTACATCCCACTAGGAAGGTGGTTTCTCCTTCATGCTCTCTGCCTTTTTGAAAAGCATATGCATCCTCTGATATTTTTAAAATAGAGAATGTAAGGGAAAGACATAGCAACTAGGCTAAACAGTGGTATAGTGCTAAAAAATTCTCTGTAAGGTTGACCACTATGAGAGTTTTCACATTCAGAGACCTCCTTGAGTATACTGGGTACAGGGATTTGGGGAGCTCTCCCATGTAATGTCTCTACTAGAGAAATTTAATTTAAAATAATAATACTGTTAATATTTATTATGGGCTAAGACCAAAACAGTTTAGATGGATGACTATATTTAATTCATTGAACTCTAAATAAACTCTATTATAATTTTCCTCATTTTACCGATGAGGGAACTGAGTCAATGAAAGGGTAAGTGAGAATTGCCAAAGGCTACACCACTAGACAGTGATAAAACTGGGGTTTAAGCTCATGGAGTCTGATTTTAGTTCTATGTTCTTAACCACTATGATACCTATCCCTGTATTGTGTGAGAGGAAAAGTGAGGATATTATTTCACAGTGATTTTGGGCAGAGGCTCCCTAGAAATAGATGGTAGAAGAGGTGATAAGGTTGTCTGGACTCTTCCCTGTCTGGGACTCTGTCCCTGGCTGATAATAACTAATAGTAGACAAAAAATGATGTTATAAAAAGGTAGAGGTCTATTTATCTCTCATATAGTCATCAGAGAGTTGGCTTCCTTCTAGCTTTCTGCAATTCTGTCTAAAGGATATGGACCTCATCCTTGTCTATGAGAGCATGAACTACCACATTTACATTCCAAGCATTAGGCCTGAGTAAAGGATGAAGAAGGGCATGCTCTCTTCCTTAAAAGAGATTTCTCAGAAAGCCAGCTCAACACTTCTGTGTACATCAGATAGAATTTAATCATACAGTCATCCCTGCTGAAACAAAGGATAGGAAATGTAATCTTTTTTTTAATTTACGTTTTAATTTCATTTTATTTTATACATTCAATCACATTATTTACCTTACAAAGTTAATATTTCAACATGTGAACATTTATCCCTAGTCCAGTTGATAAAACTATAAAATGTCTTCACCAAATAATACTACATTGTAATCTTTCACTTAGGTACAATGAGTTTCCATCTGAAAATCAGAACTCTGTTGCCAAGAAGGAAGAGGAAAGTAGATTTTAGAATTACGACCTAGCACTTTGGTTCTCTGGCACATTGGTTCGTACAACTTGCACTCTTCTCTCTTCACAGTGACTACAGATATGTGGCAGCTGCTTTGGCTGTCATGAGAAATGTGACTCAACAGATCAATGAACGTAAACGACGTTTGGAGAATATTGACAAGATTGCCCAGTGGCAGGCCTCTGTCCTAGACTGGGAGGTAGGACCTTTACTAATGGGATACTGGGGAGTAAGAATAGCTTGGCCAAAGTTTCCCATCTTAGCCAAGGATGGACAAAGAGGAATTAAATTTGAAGAGCAACAGTAAGGATTTAGATTATACCCAAGGCAAAACTTCCTGTTAATGAGAGATGATGGGTACTTGGATAGCTTTTTAAGAAGAGTGGGGAAATTTTTGTGACAATACTTCATTAAGAAAGGAAAGGTTCATTTATATCTTTGAGTGTTGGTTGGACACGATTGATTTGACTCAATAGCCTTTCAAAACTCTTACAAGTTCCAGATTTATTTACTACCAAACACACACTTGGATAAGAAGTATTATGTACTTATTTACTCATAGACACAGAATACATGATATTTTTCACTTATTCCCAACCATGCAGGACAGTCAACATACTTCTTTTCTCATTAGTGATATCACTTCACCCTGAAACATCTACTAGATCTGTCCAGGCATACATACTAGGCCGTGATCATTCCTGCCAGATCCATAGACCAAATTATTTTTTTTATCATCTACTTTAAAAAACAATCTCTGATAACCTTCCATGCTATTGCAAACAGCTGAGACTTCTCTGAACTCAGAAATACTCAGTGGCTAATGTAACAAATGCCTTTCCTTCCCAGATACACACCAAGAGAACCAGAAATAATAACATCTCACATTTATGTCTTAGGCCCAAGTTGTGCAGTCTGAGAGTCTATAGGCTAACATAACCACGATGAAAACCAGAACATGCTACCAGAGAGCGAGCAATAATCTTGAGCCTTGTGATCACAGTATAAATGTAGAGCCAACTCCACATTCCACTGTCCTCAACTCATGTGTCATTTTCTGTATGTAAGAGCTAATATCTCTTTTAACATTTCAAGTAGCTTAACTTATTCCAAAGGGACCAAAATTCAGCCTTACAAATAGCTACGTAACTAAGGACCAGAAAGAAAACAAAAAGTCTTTTAAAGAAAATCCGGATGAGCAGTTGGCTTAATGGTTATGTTGCTGGAATCCCATGTAGTCAACCGTGGTTTGAGTCCCGGACCTAGTGGCTTAAACTCGCGCCGGGGGTGTGTGTGTGTGTGCATGCCCAAGAGCCTGAGAGGAGAATGGAGGAGAAGGGATTGCGGCATGGCTATCCCCCCGGGGGACGATTTCTCACTTTCTGTCTCTCTCTTTCTGTCTTTCTGGCAAGTGCACACAACCTCTAGCAAAATCCTTTCAACAAACAAACAAACAAACAAACAAACAACAAAAAAAAAGAAGAAAAGAAAAAAGAAAGAAAATCCCACCTCTGTTCCTCCATAATGTAGATAAACTGAAAAAGACCACAATTTTGATAAGCTGAAATATTTTTATGTCTTTCTTGAAGGATAATGAACCCATACAGGGGTAGGAAAGTAGTGATTCTTTGAGATGCAGAGAAAGAAAAGCATCTATATAAAGAAACCCTCCTGTTCATAAAGAGGAAATCAGCACTGACTGAGAACTACTAGAACATCATAGATTCTTCTTCACTTATGTCTGCTTTGTCAGTTGTTTGATTAGAGGCAAAGAACTAGACCAAATGACTTCTAGCCAGTCCATCAGCTCTAAGGTACTCTGAAACTATGACTGGTCAGCAGACTTTTTTTTTTCTTTTTTTGTCAGAGTTCTCTGTAAGTAAAGGTGCCCTAAAACAATTATCTTCCTATTCCATGGAACATCTCCCTCTTCCCAATGCTTAGACTTTCTTATTCTTCCACTTATACAGACCTCCAGTCCCTGGAACATGGAGGACCAAACATAGCTTGAAATCCCCTGACCTACCCAGGGAGCTTAATTTTTTTAAAAGAATTATTTGTTTATATAATTCCATTTGTTACCATTATTTTAAATATTTTGACCAGAGAGAGAGAGAGACAGGGAAAGGGAGAAAGCAAGCCACTAGGTCTAGGACTCTAACCATGGTTGGCCATGTGTGAATCCAGCACCTTTAACCACCATGCCACCTACTGGCCTTTCCAGGGAGCTTTATTAACAAAAACTCAATAATACTGCACTACGATTTAAAGACTGGGCATCTCAGGAGTTTTCCTATGTTTTCTGGGGATGAAACACAAAAAGGCAATTCTGGCAGTTATTTTCTTCCTTTTTAAAAGAGGATTTTGCTATATGATGTGTGCACTCACCAGCGAGATAGAGAGAGACAGAGGGAGAGAAAGTGAGATATCATGCCCTGGGGATATGGCTATGCCACAGTCCCTTCTCCTTCAGTCTCCTCTCAGGATTTGGGTATACACACACACACACACACACACACACACACGCACACACACATGCACACACACATGCACACACACACACACACACACCTACCTCATGTGATATTCAAGCTGCTGGATCTGGAACTCAAACTGCAGTCACGTGGGAGTTCGGTACCTTAACTATTATACCATCTGAAGGCCCCCTGACAGTTATTTTCTACCTCCTTTGTTAGCATGATTGATTGGTCTTCTAATCTCTTCCAAGCCTGCACATCTCATGTACCCTTCTGCTTGATGAAGTCCTTTGTCTAAATTTTTGTTTGTATAGGTCGGGGTTTTCCAGAGAAAGATACCAATAGGATAAATACATATAAAAGAAGAGTTTTATTATAGAAATGATCTCACTTGATCACAAGGTGGAAAAGTCCCACAATAGATTATCTGCAAGCTGGAGAAACAGCTGAGACTCTGAAGCATGGAAGCTAAATGGTGTAGTTCCAGTTGGAAACTACAGGGGTCCCTTGGGAGCCCACAGACCTGTGTACCCTCAGGTAATAACTGGTATTAATCCAGAGTCTAAGCTTTAAATAACATAGAGTCTGATTGGCTGGAGGGTCATGGGAACAGAGAGCCAGCCCAAACAAGGGCAGCCAAGGGTTGAGGAGAGGAACATGGGTGGAACGAACAGAATGTGTAGGAATAGAACACACAGCACACTCTGGAAGGAAGAGGAGAGAGTAGGAAGGAGAGAGGAAAGAGAACCCCTACTTCCTCTGTTTTTCCTTCCTATGCTTCTAGCCAATTGGACAATACCTACCCACATTGAAGGCAGGTCTTCCTCTTTTAGCCCAGGGACTCACATGCCAATCCTGTCTGAGAACAACTGACACACCCAGAAACAGTGTTTCACCAGCTGTCCAGACAGCCTTTAATTCAGTCAAATGGACACCCAAAGTTAACCAGTACAGCGTATTAGTCCATTCAGGCTGCAATAACAAAATACCATAGACCAGATATCTTATAAACAATAGAAATTTATTTCTCGCAGTTCTGGAAACTAGAAAGTCCAAAATCCAAGTGTGGGTAGATTTAGTGGTGAGAGCTTGCTTTCTGGTTCATAGACAGCTGTCTTCTTGCTGTATCTTCAGCCATGGCAAAAGGAGTAAGGGAACTTGTTGGGGTCTTTTTTATAAGGGTACTAGTCCCATTTAATTCATGATGGATCTAACTTTATGACCTAATCACTTCCAAAAGCCATCACTCAGAATTAGGTTTTAAACATAAATTTTGGTGAGCTGCAAACAGTCTATAACAATGATGAGAACAAAAACTTCTCATGATTCCCTTCTCAGATTCTGGAATTACTGTGCAAACTTGCCAGCTCCAGAGGAGTCCCCTTTTCTAGTAAGATCTGATGGGTACATTTCAGAGGTCAAGCCTAAAGTGTCCTCATGTTTTCCATATCGGGTCTTAAAGATTTCTAGAATGTTAGAATCACCAGGGCTATGACAAGACTCCACTCCAATTCTGACCATGCATGTGTATGCACATATACTCACACATACCTTCACACATACTCTCTTTTACTCTTACACACCATGTAAGGATGGTGGAATTCTGAGAATCAGAGAGAGGCCTCTTCCTAGCTGAGGTCACATATAGCAAATCAGTGACAAAGCTAGAACTTGACTCTAGTCTCTTTATTCCTTAAGTGATGTTCTTGTTAAGTACTAAACTACATAGTCCACCAACCTTTGCTTCCCACAGCCCAACTGCTATCCTTTGTGATACTGTAGCAACTTTGTTTTGTAGTAAAGAATATATTCAAGGTAGTAGCACCACCTTGGATGGAAAATTCAAATCCTAGTAAGGCTGGGTGATTGCTGGAGTGTCTTCCCCAAAAAGCAGTGGAACATGGACCCTTTATGGCTTGCTGACTTGGGCTAGTTGCCCAATCTCACATGTTCTCTAAGGTTGTGGTTTGTGGTGTTCCACCTGCCCAAGAAGTTGAATAGGCAAAGATTCTGTCAGATTGCTGAGGGCTGCTGTAGACATACTTTGTAAATTAAGATAAAGAAGTGATGCTTTGCTATCTCTTGCACCTCTTTGCCTCCTAGATGTTTGATCGAATAAAGTACCTGTCAAAATTATCTGCATGATAATTCCACCTTCATATGTCAAATAAAAAAAAAAGAGTCAGAGGCCAGTAGGTGTCATGGTGACTAAGGATCCTCAACTCCCACATGGCTGACCATGGTTTGAGTCCTGGACCTGGAGGCTTGCTTTCTCATTTTTCTCCTCTCGTACTCTCTCTCACTCTGTCCCTTACTGGTCAAATTAAAATAAATAAATAAAGTTAAATAAAATAATTATTAAAAAAAAAGAGGAGTCGTAGGCGAAATCTTTTGGGATTAATCTCCCTCGAAGAAGAATTAGAAGGATTGGTGACATGCAGACAATTGGTACCTGCTCAGTAGATCTGAGCATCTAACTAGAAAGCAGGAAGCCTTGCATTGTTTCAAAGCTTTGACCCATCCCTCAGCTTAGTCCTTGAGTATTCTAGGTCTCTTTGTTCAATTCCAGTTACCATCCCTGCCCCCTGCATCCTACAGGAACCAGAGTTCCTAAAGTACCATTTACCCCACACCAAAGGACTATTGAAAAATGGATTGATAAGTGAAAGAATCACCCATCCCTCTGAGTAACAATCAACACATTAGAGCAGAGAAAAACAGGGAGAAGAACCTGTTCTCGAGAACTGAAATTTCTGGAAAACTTCCATTTTTAGTTTTTCTGATACTGACTTTGCCACCTTTCACACTTACTAAATTTACTTGAAAGGAAAGGAAAAGGAACATATCCCTGATAGCATATTTTTAATTTTTTTTTCTGGGGATTTTTAGCAGGAGCTTAAGTTTAGAGCTCATGTTTATGAACTTGATCATATGTGATTTTGATTTCCTCCTCATGGCACTTCTCCCTTTCTAGAATGGTTGTATAATACCCAAGTGCCTATTCCAGTTTACCACGGGCTTATTGAATCCAAAATATTGGAGAAAAGTAAAAAATACATCATGACTTTTCTGACAATCCAATATAATTAGAGTAGAGTAAAGCCTCTTTGAGGCTTTGGCCCTAGGGAAGGAAGGCAAATGAGCTGACAAGAAAATTTGGGTAGTTTTTGGTGGCCATCATTAATTCAATACCCATTTATTTATTAAGCAGGTATTTCTTGAGCACCTACCATGTATTAGGCCTCATTTGAAGTTCTACAAATATATCATTGAGGAGACAGAGTTTCTCCCTCTATTGAATTTATATTCCAGCAAGTGAGAGTGGCAACAAAGAAACATATTGTCAGGTAGTGACAGGGACTATGAAGAAAAGTAAATAAGGGTAATAGACTAAAGAGTGATGGGGGTACTTATTACCTGAGGAAAAGATCTTATAGAGATGAAGGAGCAAGCCATGCTTTCTTGGGGCAGAGCATCCAGGCAGAGGGAAGAACAAATACAACTTCCCTGAAATATGGGAGTGTGTGCTCAAGGAACAGCAAGGAGGCCACTTTGGCCAGAGTTAATCCAGCAAAGGGGAAGAATAGGAGTAGATCAGATCAAGGAGATAATGGGAGATCAGATCATGTCTTCATAGGATGCTGGCTTTTTGTTTGAGGAAAATGGGATCCTTTGAAGGATTCTTAAGATGTTGGCTTTTAGTTTGAGGAAAATGGGATCCTTTGAAGGATTTTAAGTAAATATGTGACAATAGGAGACTTATATTTTGAATATCTCCTCTATACCAGGCCTTGTGCAAGGCATTTGGATATTGAGATGAATGATATATGGCATTGATCATCTAGTAGGAGCATATTTATTCATAGAAGAGAGAACAATGAGAAAAATACTAGAGGAATTTAATAGGACAGAAAGCCTGTGGTGGAGGGATGGGGCAGTGAGAAAGATTGCACTTTTGGGGACAAGACAGAGATACGTGATTAAATAGTGCAGAGGAGGCAAGGATAAAAGCTCTCAACTGTGAGAGGGTCCTTTCTCTCATATGAACTGATTTGATGCTCTAAAGCAGCCATGTGGAATAGGTCAAACAGAAGCTGTTATATTATCCTCACTCCACAAATGAGGAAAAAGCTCAAGAAAGTTTAAACTCTTTTCCAAGGGTATAGAGTAGGTTAGTAGTGGCACTGAACCCAGAATCTAAGTCTTCCAATTTCTATGACCTTTTTTTTTGGGTATAATTATAGTATATCCCTTATTGGGTTGTTGTATCAATAGGAGAGAGGATAAGTATAGTATCTGGGACACTCAGTAATAGTCAAGAAAATAACATCATTTATGCAGAGCTTACAATATGTTGTGTACTTTCCTAAATATTTTATTTTATATTCATTTAAGTAATATTCAAAACACCCAAATATGGTTGGTACTGTTATTATTCCTATTTTAAGATAAAGGAAACTAAGATATAAATAGGATATATATGTTGCTCTAAGTCAATCAGCTTGGTGAGCATAGACATGCATTTTTTCAAGATTTTTTTTTTTGCTTGGTAAAGTTAAATGTGACAAGTACTTAGAGTTGAAATGCCCTCTGGCTGGTGCACTAGGTGAACCAGATAATACCAAGTAGTCTTCCTGGTCTAATGATTCTCAGTTTAGCAATGATACCTTTATAAGGTCAACCTGGCTATTTTTTTATGGTATTGGCTGGTCCCCTTTAAAGGCTTGCTTTCACTTCATACATGTTCAGAGTGACTACAGGACATATTACTAGCCTGCATCAGGGTGAGGTATGGTAGACTAGTAATGCTTGCTGCATCCCATTCTTCTAACAGGAAAGCCCACCTTGCACTGCTCCCTAACTCCGAACACTTCTCTCAGCCTGGGGACTATAAAGGTTTTGTGCTAGTATGTCAGCCCCTTAAGAAGGAGTAGTAACTGAGTTGTTGGATAATCCTGGGGCTGAGCCTGGAGCCTGGAGTTGAAGCAGTATTTCTAAGATTCTTTCAAGTTCTATTACTAGAAAATAGTTCCACTGAGTGTCCTTTATCCTCTCATTCCTTGGACTGAAAGGAGTTAGTATGTGTGAAAACACTATTTCCAGATGTCCCTCTGTCTAGTCTATTATTCTGCCTGGGCTATTTTCCTCTGATTATATTCAGAGGATGTTGGAGCCCCCATCTCTAACCTTGCCTTTAAGCTTTTGGGTGCAAGGATGAGATCTTAGCATCAAACTATCAGGACTGGGACTGAAAAGATTATCTTCATTTAAAATTAGAGAAAACTGAGACCAGGAAGAAGGGACTGGTCCTCCTGTGAACCTTCTGGCCTAGAGACAGTACAATGTGGTGGAATAAGGGAACACACTCCTTGGAGCCATGGAGATCAAGATTGGGTTGTAGATCTATAGCTAATTAGTTGGGCAACCTTGGCTTATCACTTGACGTCTTTCTACCTCGAACTGTAAAATGGGAGCAGAAATATCTACCTCCCAGAGCTATTGTAATTCTCAGATGAGGTCAAAAGTAATTAGCACAGTGCTTGACTCATATAGGTACTCAGAAAATGATAGTTCTGCATCATGGGTCACTGCTCTTTATCCCTATCTTCACTTAGGCTGTGAAATACTCAACCCTGTGCCCATATCTTTGGTGTGGTTTTGCTTTGTGTTCCACAAGTTCTGAACACAACTGCATTAATCTCATCCACTGAGATGTAAGCTCCTTGAGGACAAGGGCCATGTTTGACTTGGCATGTGACATTCCTCCAAGATACCTTTATCTATAAGAGTTGCTGTAAAAAGTGAGGGAGGGGGACTTAGAAACTCTATAGAATTGAATTATCTAGGAGTCAATGTCTTCATGCTTTTTGTCTGTATAACAAAAGTGGTTCTAAGCTCTCTGGATAACAAATCAAGGAACCATATGATTGTAAAGTTTTATATATAATAAATAGATTTTAATGAATTAGAAGAGAAGGGAAAACAATGAGGGTGAGTGGATTCTCTTTCTTTTCTTCGGTCATCATCTTTATTCTTGCCCCCTCAACCCCTTTTACTCTCTAGAAAGCAGAAGTGCTTTTATAACCTTCTCAGGTTTACTCTAAGTATTAAAAAGAGACTGAGACCAGAGCAGGGGTTGAGAGACTGGGAAAGAAAGGAGATTCATAGAGAAGAAAGATGAGGATAATAGAGATTCAGAGAAAGAAAGAAAAACACTACATGGCAACTGGTGCCTCCAGGGTCAGATAAAAACTGGCATAGAGAAATTGTAGCAGATTTTGGTAGTGGTGAGGCTCATATGGCCTCAGGGTAAACATTTTAAAGCCTTTTGATGATTCCCTGAAATCCTTCTTCTCCTCCCTCCTTCCCCACCAGGTTCTTACTGAGCTCTTCCTACCTTCATCTATTCCTAGCTTTAGGTGCCTCCAGGCAGGGAATGGGGCCATCCCTCCTGTCTGGCTACTTCTTACCATCACATGTCCTTTCCAGGGTGAGGACATCCTAGACAGGAGCTCGGAGCTGATCTACACTGGGGAGATGGCCTGGATCTACCAGCCCTATGGCCGTAACCAACAGCGGGTCTTCTTCCTGTTTGACCACCAAATGGTTCTCTGCAAGAAGGTAACTCTGATCCCCCTTTTTCCTTAGGGATATAAGCATCTCAGGTGGCACCATCCTCTTTCTCGATAATTCCCACATGCCCAACAAAGTGGACAAAAACTGCTGGGGGACATACAGGAGTTCAAATCAAGAGCACTGGTGTGGCACAAATATCACAGATAGGACTGACTTGTGAGCAATGAAACTCTGAAATAGTGCATTTTGTCTTGGTATCTTATTTACCCTTTGTCCTCATGACCCTCATAGTACTCCTTTTCACTCCTTTCCATCCAGAGATTATAGCCAGCTGGTTTGCACCAGTTGTTAAAAGTACTGAAATATTTCTATCCCAGTTGGCAAAGAGTAGCTTCTCTGAGCACATTCTCCCATTTCTACTCAAATAGCTTTGGCTATATGGTGCCTCTCTTGCCTAGGAACCAAAAAGGGAGACCCTACTTTTGCCCTAATAGATAGGTATCTTTATGGTACAGGAATTTCCACAATACTACTATCCATTTCCTACACAAGGTGTATCAATTCTCTACAACCTCCAATAATGTTCTCCCCTATCCCCTTTTTCTTTTTTCCATTTGAAGAGATGTCTTGCTTTTATCACTGACTCCTGGTTAACTCTGTTAATGTATTCTCTGTCCTTATGGCATACTGTTCCCCCTACTCCTCCCTCAAGATAAGGAGTTTGGGATCTAGGGATTGACTGGGGAGAAATTGGAACCTGGGAGAGAAAAAGAGAAGAGAGAAAACAAAGGGTACTTTAAAGTGACTTTCTAAAGTCACTATCCTACCCTTGGCCCTTTCTCTATTTATAATTCCTTTGTCTTTTTTCTCATCTAGTAATGAATGCCTCTGAAGAGGAATGTTGACTTAGGAAACATCAGGCTAAACACTGTTATTTTTTTTCCGAGCTAGAACAAGAGCCACCTCATTGTTTTAAACTCTCTGTGCTCTGTGTGTGTGTGTGTGTGCATGCCATATTTTACATTCTGTATTTGTTTTCTCTGAACGCCAGGTCTGGAACCAAGAGCCAGCTAGTTAATGGGGATAATAACTACCTCAGTCTGGAGCTGATCCTGAAAAAGATAACTTTTATTAATTTGGTACTTGATCAAACATCAATCCCTCTTTTTAGACTCATTCTGAAAGTCTTCCTAGGACTTTCATAAAATCAGGGGCAGGATTTTTGAAAGTTAATTTAGGCAGCCAAGGAAATTATCAACCTGTTACCAGCAGACATATGCCTAATTCTTCTACTAAGATATGTTCACTCTCAGAACAACTAGTCAGAGAGAGAAAGATCCAATAAATGGGAAACTGGTTTATTTTAGTGTTTCTAGCTTCCAGAGTCTGTTAATTTGGGCACCCTTTAGCCAAGGCTGGGGTTACTTTAAGTATAATGTGAAACTGTGCTCTGGAAAACAGGATCTATAGAAAATAGGACCAGGAGCCAGGACATGGAATGGTGAGATGGAGGCTAAGAATAAAGAGGAAGAAACAAAATGAAGAGTGAGCTTAATTTAGGAGCCAAGAGGAAATAAACCGTCAAGTTTGAGCAATGAGTCAACTCTTAAGTGATCTAATAGGAGCCAATGATTAGGAAGAAACCAGATTTTGAGGCAGGGCTGGGGGTTCAAACCAAGAAAGCTGGTAAGATCAGTGGAACAGGCAGTAAGGATAGTAAGGATGATAAAAGCAAGAGAAGAAACTTTGACAGGGGCATAGTTTCCCTCAGATGAGAGCTTTTGTGTTCTAGCAAGAATCATAGACTTTTGTCCCAGAGCAAAGCCAACCTAGACTCTGGATATAAAAGCTACTAAAGGCTTCACATGTCTGTGTCTTCTTGACACTGGCTTCTCAGAGCATGAGCTACAGCCTACTCTTCCCAGTCTGCTCTTCCCAAATGTTCAAAGACTATTAAAATTGTCTGATGTTTGTGTTGAAGCCATGATTAAGCATTTCCATTGGGTATCTACAATAGACCTTGCTATTCAGAACAAAGAGAGTCAATTCTTCCAATTACTACAAAAGATTCCCTTTTTAGGATGGAGTTGGGAGAAATGGGCATGAAGATTCTTTAGACAAAGGAAATCCACATAAGAAAGCTGAAGTTCAGAACCAAAGTGAGATGAATAAGGCTCCCACCTCACTACCCTTAGGCATGCAATTTAAATGGATGTCCAAAAGCTTAGTAATCATTTTCACAAAATAAAAGGAGAAAAACAAGCTAAATAATCAAATTTGGCTACATTAAACTTTCCGTTAAGTTCATATTTGAAAAGGAGGAAAACAAGGGCTCCAACAAGTGGTTAGATAGTATACAATATTTTATATATGATATTTAACCAGAGTGATCATTAGTTTTGCAATTCATAGAATGAGTCAAAGTTAGCTTTAAAAAATGTTCAGAACAGTATCACTGATTTTAAAGTGCTGCTTGAGGCAGATAGTTTAGTATTAAGAGGAATATAAACTTTTCTGTCAAAGGAAAGAGAACATGAACATAACTAAAAGGTAAATGAAGCCCAAAGGATCTGAGGTTGTAAGAAAGTACCTCACTTCACCAAATTCATTCTTTCCTGCTATCCAGATTAGTCTAATAGGATTTTACTGTGATATAATTTTAAAATTAATGCATCCCTAGGCACTGAAATAATTCTCAGATGTCCCTATTAAATTTTCTATAGGTAAACTTGGCAGGATTATGGGTCCCAGGAGATCTGTAAGAACACTATAGATAAGAAAATGTACCAGATTTCAAAACAGAAAATAATATATTTTGAAAATATAGATTGATAGTATATGTCTTTCACAGCCAGGCTTATTTTACTTATACCCTTGATTTGTTATTACATAATATATACATGCTTTAAAAAACATACTGTATCCCATACAGATAAAGAATATATATAAATCAGAATTTATAATAAAAAAGTACAAATTGATGATAAAAATAGTGAACTAGCATTTACTGAGTATTTTTTTGGTTCTGTTTTAAGAACTATATCAATTGAATTCTTATGACAAACATAGGTACTATGATTATTTCTACTTTAAAGACATGTAAACTAAGATTAGAGAAGTTCTATAATTTCCCCAAGATGTAATACATAGCTATTAAGTGATGGAGCCAGGATTTAAATCCAGTAAATTGGCTCTAGATTCTACAATGGTAACTCCTATGTCATTATTGCCACTGAATTGATCAGAATTCTGTATTTGATTATCACATAGTTTGTTAACATTTAAAAAGAGATGCAATAATCACAGAGGCTCATCATTGGTTAACTAAGATCAAGTCAAGTCTTATGCAACTCAGTTTCTATTTTGCCAAGTAACTAGATTATTTGATTGAAGAACTGCACTGTACAGAGAGTATTTAGATTCAGTCTGATATTTGAGATTCTTTCATGGTTTCCTCAGTCAGAAGCAATATGGGAGTGACAAATGAAATATAAATTTTGTGGTCACACAATTTGGGCTCAAATCCTGGTTCCAGCACTTTTTAACTACATGATTAGAAGCAAGCGATTTTTCATTCCTTATATCTCTATCATATTATTTGTAAAATGGGGATAATTAACTACACGATTGTTGTAAAAATTAAATGAAGTCAATGCATAGAAAATGCCTGATAGAATGCCTGGCACCTAGGAGGTGTTAATTAATCTTAATTCTTTCCCCACCTCCAACAAAGAAATAGACAACTTTTTTTATTTTGAGATGTTTTTTGCTATAGGATGTGTGCACTCATCAGGGAGACAGAGCCAGAAAGTAAGAAATAACCCCCCCAGGGGGGAAATGGCCATTCTGCAATCCCTTCTCCCCCATTCTTCTCTCAAGATTTTGGGCACGCATGTACACGTACCCAGTGTGAATCTCAAAACCACCAAGGATGGGACTCGAACCACAGCTGGCCACATGGGAGTCTAACCACTATACCACGTGCTGGCTCTCAACTTTATAAGGCAGTGAGAGTCCTATCACTAGATATATCTGAATATGGGCTAGATGATTACCTGCCAGTAATAGTATAGTAGACATTTAAACACTATCTGATCTCTGTCTAAGATCATATGGCCAAACCACTAAGTTTCTATTTAACTCTTAAGAGTCTATTAATATCCAATCAGTTATGCAAAAACTTACCCATTCTGTACATTTGGAGTTGGGATTGACTGAGACACTCAGAGCAGCTTAAATAGCATATGTAGTTTGTAGCTTTTTTTTCAGATTATATTTATGTATGTATAAATATGTGTGTGTGTGTGTGTATGTGTGTGTGTGTGTGTGTGTGTGTGAAAGAGAGAGAGAGAGAGAGGTAAGGTACTTTCTAAATGGCATTTATACTACGTGGGAAAGACATCAGTGGTTTCTAATCACATGATTCCTTCTTTTACTTTTTCTGTCCACTATCTTTCCTTGTCACTTTTCTTTTGAAAAATCCAGGTAAGAATCTTTGTTTTCTTTCTTATCCTCTGGACTGGTTATGTCTGCTCTTCTGTGTCTCATTGCCTTATTTTAGTTTTGTATATGTTTTGGTACTTTCTTCCTGATATGGTTATTTTGGAAATGATTTTGATGTGTTAGGGGATTTTTCCCTTTTCTTTCCTTTTTCTCATCTTTCACTGTTTACTACAAAAGGAAGAAGATACTCTTATTCACTAATGTTCCTTCAGCCCTGTGGTTGTTCCAAACAGCCTTTTCCTGCATTGTCTGTCTTCAGTTTGTCAATCTAGACACGCTCTGTTGTTCCCTGTTTCAAATCAGGCTGATAATAGAACTTATCTCAGGACACTTTGTGGGAGAGCTCCTGAGGTAGTGGAGAACAATGGAGTGGAATGCTAAGAGGATGGATACTAGGGCCAGACTAGAGGGTACCAATCTTATTTCTCCCATGAGCTGTGTGACCTTGGGCAAATTCTTTATGCTTTTAACTGTCCCCTCCTTTGCAAAATGGGGATCATATGGTATCTACAAGAAAGGGAGGTTATGAGAGTTAAACGAGA